GTAAGTGTTAAAAGAAGAAAAGAAGTAGAGAAATGTTGCATGGCCGGCCCCTGAGCCTGCAACAATGGCAGCAATTTAGAAGCTTCTTAGAATGATTGTTCTTTCTTTGCAAGTTTGTTTATCAATTGTTACATTATCTCAGTCTTTGGTGTTGTTACCAGTTTGACTACGTGAACTATACCGGTCACGTTATCAATAAATACCTTAATTGTACAATTGATTGATGTGCAGGTCCGATATTAACGAAAAACAGCACTGGTCGACAAGGGAAATGACAGGCAATTGTAAGGACGGATAACTATCGAATGATCACGAGTTAAACAGCATTAATGGGGAATACTTAAATGATATTGTGATAATGATGAAAAGGCTATTATTATTTTGTAATAAAGACAACTGGGTAAATTCCCAGAGTCAATTGTTTTTGGAATGGAATATTCCTTCCTTGTTTGTCGCTGTTATGGTGTTGTTCTCTGTTGCATCTGATGGTAATTTTCTATATTACGTCCGCATAACCTGTATCGACGATTTTGGTATCGTTGGATTCCTCTCACTTTATACAATGCAAATATGTAGGTTTTATTGCGCGGAAACCCCCCGTTAGCGACAAACTTGGCCCCGATATCGGGGGTGACGATGTTGGAGCGGCGGACGTAATATATAAAATTACACTAATAATATAACCTCACAGTGAAAACAATCATGATTATTCACATGACTTTCCATTGCAGGGGGCTGTGCCCCCTGCGACCTCCCCTGGGGGGGCTGCCGCCCCCGAACCCCCGCCGAGGAAACAAAACCTCCACCACGTATTCACAGCAGGATAGAGCGCACACGAACCAGATGCAGAGCCGATAACTTACAATAACCTAGGATTTTTAAGGTACTAACCTGACTGATTAATGCCGCTAATTAGTAGGGAGGGTGCTCCTTTGCCGCAGAATGTGAAGGAGGTCCAGGCGTGCTGGCTGCCCGCACCTGCCGCAGGCTTTCTCCCAACGGAGGAGGCCGTGGGGGAAGCACATCTCTAGCATTTTTCCTGGCTAGTTGCAATTTTGCGCAGAAAAACCGTCTCCGAATACGAGCACCCTCCACGCTCGGCCATCGCGGCGGCTATGACTGCCTTCTGAACGCGACGGTTATTTCGGTTAGGAATACGGATGTCGTTATTCTAGTGGACGGGAAACTCGACCTTGAGGCCATCGGTGTAACATCGAAAGAGGCGCAAAACCCGCCGACGAGGGTGGGCCAACCTGTTCATCCTGATTATAGTACAATCGTCTCTATATACAATGCTGACTATGCCAAGGTTAATATGCTAATTCAGTGGGAATCTTAAGAGGTAATTGTAATATTACGCCCGTCGCTCCGACATCGACGACGATTGTGTAACGCTCTAGCCTGCCGGGAATACGTGGTGGAGGTTATGTTTCCTGGGCGGGGGTTTGGGGCGGGAGCCCCCTCCCAGGGGGGTCGCAGGGGGCACAGCCCCCTGCAATGGAAAGTTATGTGAATAACCGTGGTTATTTTCACTGTGCGTTATATTATTAGTGCTATTAAACCCCGCATTTTCCCTGGAACCGTTCATGCCTTCCCCTGCTATCGGGGCCAAGTTTGTCGCTAACAGGAGGTTTCCGCGCAATAAAAAAAAACTATATATTTGCAATGTGGAGAGTCAGAGGAATCCAACGATACCAAAATCGTTGATATCGGTTATGCGGACGTAATATAGAAAATTACCCATCTGATAGCTTAAAGAGTGATGTAACTTGTACTTCCTGATGTCAAAGTTGCTTAAGCGTGTAAACCAAGGCGTCATACTGTATTTTAGGGAACAATTTGCATAATTTACACAGCAAAGCAGAACAAAACCACTACAAATGCTTTGAATTGTTTGTTGAAACTGTACGGGAATGGGAGCCATGTCCGCCTGCGGCCGGCCGGCGGACAGACTCAGGGGAAGCTCCGCCTGCCGATTTTGTAGCCTCCTGGAATAATTTTATTTTGCCTACAAAATGTACCTGTCATGAATGGGTTAAGTCCCGTTAGCAGGGGAGGAAATGAAGTATATCAGGGAAATCATGGGGTAAAACAGGCTTAAATAAGAAGAATAGCGGACAGAAATGTGTAAAACTAGTACAAAAAACGCAAAAAATTGGCTAATGAAACTCTACAGACATGTCCACCTTTGAAAGTCTACACACTGATGTGCCAGAGTTCTAAAAACTCTACACGAATCAAAGCCATCTTTCGGCAAAATCTCCGGGATTTCATACCTTTCAAACCCCCAAAACGTCCAGACCCATAACCAAACTTAACCTAACAATATATAGTGCCATGACTAGGCGACTGCCCGAGGGAAGGTTTGATGGGGGGGCTCTGCCCCCCATCACCACCCGGGATTCATTCTCTTCGCCTTGGTATGTACGGCAAGATAGAGCTACATCCATACTGTAAGCAATAAACCAAATACCTTTATATATTGAAAAACCAAACTGTCAATTTTCCTTCGCTTCTTTCGATCAATTGGTCTATTTTGGATGTGATCACTTCGTTTTTATCACTTCAGAAATCAAAATGCGTTATTAAAGTTTTTTTTCTTCTTAGTTTCCACTGTATAGTCTTAAGAACTACGTAGAATTGACGTAACCTTGAAAATGAAACATTCACAATGTCAACATGGTGAGGGACTTAGAAAAAGATAGGACGATTTTCTCTCTTCTCTGTCATCATCATCATCAAGGGGGCTGATGCTGACGGGGGCGCATAGCCACATCCACCCTTCACTTCCACCTACGAGGATCCCTCATGGCTAGATGCCAGGCAGGGACTCGGCCCATCTCTATTTCTTCACGACTTCCTCGGTTGTCCCACAGGCCTCCTCCACCCAGGGTTGTCTCGAACAGAGACGACCTGATGGGCAGGATCATCCTGAGGAGAGCGAGCCAGGTGGCCGTATAGCCTGAGTTGGCGATCACGGATTGTGCAGATAACAGGTCCTGTGCCAGTCTCACAGTGCAACCGTTGGTTGGACACATGGTCCCGCCAACAGTACCCCATGATCTGGCGCAAGGACTTATTACAAAAGGCTTCAAGACGAGCCTCAAAGGCACAGGACAATGTCCAGGTTTCGCTACCGTATAGCAAAACTGGTATTATCAGGGCCTTGAAAATCCGTAGCTTGGTCCTTCTGCACAGGTACCGACATCTCCAAATACTCTTGTTGAGAGAATTCATGACCTCTGCTGCCAGGCTAATCCGTCTGCTGACTTCATGGTCTGACAGCCCAGAGTTATGAACTACACTACCAAGGTATGTAAAGCTCTCTGTGACTTCAATGTCCTCACCGCAAGCATGTACCAACTGAACAGGTTCTCCTAACAAGTCCCCAAATTCCTGGACCTTGGTTTTGGTCCAGGAGACCTCTAGACCCAGTGGGTTCGCTTCATTGCTAAATGCATCGAGAGCCGCCACTAGGGTTTCCAAAGACTTAGATAGAATGGCAAAGTCATCAGCAAAGTCAAGGTCTGTAACCTTGATATTGCCCAGTGTTGCACCACAATGACTTTGAACAGTAGCTCTGCCCAGTATCCAGTCCATGCAAGTGTTGAAAAGAGTTGGTGCAAGGACACAGCCTTGCCTCTCTCCTGAACTAACAGGAAAGAAGCTCGACAGGCCCCTACCACACTTTACAGCACTTTCAGTACCAGTATACAGGCTTGCTATTAGTCCAATAATCCTTGTTGGAATTCCTCTCAGCCTCAGGATCTCCCAAAGTGACTCCCGATGCACTGTATTGAACGCCTTCTTGAGGTCGATGTAGGCTGCAAGCAGCCCACGCCCGAACTCACGGCGGCGCTCTACAATGACTCGAAGTGCGAGGATACAGTCTATTGTGGACTTACCAGGAGTGAATCCGGATTGCTCCAGTCTCTGGTGCCTCAGTAGATGGTCTCTGATACGTCTCAGAAGGAAGTGGGCGAGAACCTTGCCTGGTATACTGAGCAGTGTGATGCCTCGGTGATTGCTGCAGTCCCAACGGTCCCCCTTCCCCTTCCAGAGAGGGATGACCACACCCATCAACAGGTCAGGAGGAACGGTACCAGACCGCCAGATGGCAGCCAGAACAGCATGTAACCCCCGTGCCATAGGTTCACCACCAGCCTTTAACAGTTCAGCTGGTATGTCGCAGATACCAGTTGCTTTACTACTCTTCAGCTTAAAAATCGCCCTCCTAACTTCAGTTAGGGAGGGAGGGTCCTCACTGATGGGTGGATCCGGCAGCGGGATCTCGACACTACCCGCATCCAAGTTATATGCTGGTACAGCTGCTCAAAATACTCAGCCCAACGTTCCCGCACCGCAACAGGATCTGAAACAATCTGACCACTTACTGAGCGAACTGCTGACACCTGTGAAGAGGGCTTGGAGTTGAGCTTTCTCAGGGCTTGGTATGCAGGACGAAGGTCATTTACTAAGAAATGGCCTTCTACCTCCTCTGCAAGACTCCTAATAAACTGTTCCTTGTCCCTTCTTAACAGGGCTGAGTTCTGTGCACATGAGAACGGTGCAATTCCCGATCCCCTGTCAGACGAGCCGCACAACATGCATCTGTGGCTTCCAGTGTCTCCTGCGAGATGGAATTCTGTACTGCTCTCGGGTGTACACCATTCGTATCTTGAGCTGCATCAAGCGTTTCATGCTTAAAGGTATCCCACAGAAGCTACCGGCCTCAGCTCCTAATGCCGGTAGCTGTCATGTAACTCCTTTATTATTGATTTTGAGATGAAAAGTGTCTAATTGTACATCAAGATATCTATTCCATATCTTTTATTTTACTCAATTCCTGATTTTTATCTATTGTAAATTTTCTGAAATAGATTGGGATACAACACAGTGTAAGCTGCAGTGGCCTCATAGTCACCAAGAAAGGACAAAAATATAACGTGCGGGCACCGCTCAAATTCTAAGTTGATCAGCTTGTTTACCTTGCCAGGAAA